GGGCACTTTTGGAGCCTCTTCGGCTTGTCGGGAGGCAATTCCCGGGGCTCTCTTGAGACTGCTCCGGTATTATCTTCGAGCTCTCATGGGGCGCCTCTTGGGGCCCTCCTCTGCTTCTGCAAGGGGCATGTCGGGGCCCTCTTGGAGCCTCTCTAGGGGTTCCCATGGGGCCTCTCTCGGGGCGCGCTCTTGGGATCTGTTTGGAATGCCCGTTGGACCTCTCCTGTGACCCCCCTGGGACGCCCTTGGGATCCTCTTAGAGCACCTTGTCGGGAATCGTCTTTGCTCGGTCTACGTTCTTACTACTTGTTCATCTCATGTTCAAACCATTAGTGGGTAGCTCCTGACATTGCATGTGTGCGTACGCGTCTACATACTACTGTGAGACTGTCAATGGCTGGAGTTGGCTAGAACCTCAGCGCGCGCGAAGCGCGCATGGTTCTAATTGGGATATGTCCGCAGAAGCGTTTCGGCGGACATATCGCCCTAAAGATCGCAGAGCCCCATGTATTCGGCTCTCCTGGAGTCATGAAGGGCTGTTTTGGCGGTCATATTGGGCTAACTCGGAGATCGCTGAGGCTATTTCGGGCCAGTTGGCCAAGCAAGAGCTCGTCGAGGCCTACAAGCTTTACGACCTTTACAGGCCCTGCAGAGTTTCCGGGGCGTTCACCAGGTGGAAGAGGAGTGGGGGGATGGGGAGTGCTGGCCACGCTGCTGCCTGACTAACGCACTGTTCTCCTAAGCACTGGCGGAACCGAGGGGCAAACATTCAATGAACAAGCTGCGGCGGCCTGCTGACTAAAGCAACGTTGTCCTAAGTACTGGCGGAAAAAATGCGAGCTCAAAGTTGCGAGGATGTCTCAAGCGACCGCGGCCAAATCGCATCAAACCAAAACATATCCGACCCCAAAGTGTTGAGAATGTATCACGCGAAGTGGGCCATAAGTCTTTGAGAACACACATGTTGGTACCCTGAATGATGATGTTGACGTCATCGGCGAGACTGCTCATTGTCATATCGGACCCAGGCTTCCGAGATTGTCTTACGCGAAACGGGCCTCCCTCTCTTCCTCTTCCTCCTGCTACGCTTTCTTTTCGCCTTCCCCCTCGATGCCACTCGCCAGCGTGCAGCCCGAGACGTGGGTTGCGAACGCCTGCTCCTCCCCGTCCTCCTCCCCGTCCTCTTCCTCCTCCTCCTCCTCGTCTTTACGTGGCCTAATGAGGGCTATCGGGGAGCTCTATTGAGATTATCCTCAAAACACAATGGGACCTTGTGAAGGATTCAGAGAAATGTTCTGCGTATGATTATGGATGGCATTGGACGTGCGATTCTGAATAGGAATTTGGGGAATAAGATTTGGATATTGAAGCTTCCTAAAGGCTATCTCGAACATTTGAAAGTAAACAGGTAAACTCCCAGGGAATAGAAAAACTCATAAAACGGCGCGGTATTATCTCACCACTTACGATTGATTTTTCCCCCGGCCTCGGCGGGAGAAGATCGCGGGGGAAAAAAACTAATAAACAATATATAACATGTTCCAATGCTGGCGACCGCCACGACCACACCTATTATTTAATTAATTCAATTTATTTAATTATTTAAATTAATTTTAAACTCAGCACTTAAATGAATTAAATAAATTCGGGTACGCCTGAGACCCGCCATGATCTCCGCCAGGGAGGTCGAGAAAATAAATGAAATAAATTAAATAAATTGAATAAATTAAACAGATAGAATTAATTTAATTTATTTAATTAGCCTACATAAATAAATTAAATGAATTAAATAAATTCTATGTATTTAATTTACGTAATTTATTCATTTTTTTTTTAATTTATTTAATTTATTTATCGGCCTATCTGGCGGAGATCCCGGCGATCGCCAGGGCCCAATATATTATTTAATTCATTTAATTATTTAATTTATTTAAAACGCAGCAATTAAATAAATTAAATCAATTCGGGTGCGCCTGAAGCCCGCCGGGATCTCCGCCAGGGAGGCCAACAAATAAATTAAACAAATTAAATAAATTGAATAAGTTTAATAAATTAAATAAATTAAATACATAGAATTTATTTAATTTATTCAATTAACCCACATAAATAAATTAAATAAATTAAATAATTTAAATAAATTCTATGTTTTTAAGTTATTTAATTAATTTAATTTATTGAATGTATTTCTCGGCTTATCTGTTGGAGATCCTGGCGATCGCCAGGACCCAGTATATTATTTAGTTTATTTAATTATTTAATTCATTTAAAACGCAGCAACTAAATATATTAAATAAAGTCGGGTGCGCCTGAAGCCTGCCGTGATCCCCGCCAGGGAGGCCAAACAATACATTAAATAAATTAAATAAATTAAATGAATTAAATACATAGAATTTATTTAGTTTACTTAATTAACACACAAAAATAAGTTAAATAATTAAATAAGTTAAATAATTAAATAAATTAAATATTTGTTTTACTATATATATATATATATTTCGGACTATCTGGCGGCGATTCTGGCGATCACCCGGGCCCAATATATTATTTAATTTATTTAATTATTTAATTTATGTAAAACGCAGCAATTAAATACATTAAATAAATTCTGGTGCACCTGAAGCCTGCCGTGATCCCCGCCAGGGAGGCCGAACAAATAAATTAAATAAATGAAATAAATTAAATGAAGTAAATAAATTAGATAATTAAATATATAGAATTTATTTAATTTATCTAATTAAACCACATGAATAAATTAAATAGATTAAATAAATTAAATTAATTGAACATATTGTACTGGAAAGATCTCCAATCATACATATATATATAGGTATATCACTCGTGACTTATACTCGGTGGGGGCAGCCAACTACATAGGCATAACTTTTCCAGATGTCCGCGCCAATTTCTTGGATCGGCGCCAGACCCCCCCGTCCTGGCGCGCGGAGCGCGCGAGAGGCGGCTCGGGAGGCGCCGCCAGAGGGCCCTGGCGCCGATCCAGGAAATCCGCGTGGACCTCCGACACTTACGGTTTTTGTGATTTCTGGTTCCTCGAGTTGAGCTGCAGTTTCGTGGGGCCTTCCCTGCCCTGTGAGGGGCCGTCTTCTCTTGCAGTCCGACGCGGGCTCGGCTGCGGATTCGACGTGCTTTCGGCGTTGGCTCGGCGCGGATTCGTCGTGGACTCGAGGCGGACTCAACGCGTTCGGCATCGATTATGATGGGCAAACTTTCCACCACCACTACCACATGTAGGACGGAGGAGAAGGGAGGATGAGGAGGTCCTCCTTCTCCTCCTCCTCCTCCTCCTCCTCCTCCCTCTCCTACCTGTGGTAGTGGTGGTGGAAGGTGGGCCCAACATATTCGACGCGGCGCGACGGGACAGACGAGGTCCCCCGAGTGTGCAGCAGAAGGGGACGGGCGAGCCGCCAGACGGTTGGGCAGGCAGGCCTGTGCGACACGGCTGGTCGTGCAGTTTTTCTCTCTGTCGTCCTCCTCCTCGGTCCTCCTTCTCTGCCCCCTCCCCCGCCTCCTCTTATTCCCCCTTGCTTGGGGGCAGAAGCGATGCCATAAACAGAACATCTCGGGGGGCCGCGCGGATTTCTCGGGACGGCGCTGGGGCCCCCTGGCGGCGCCGCCCCTGGCGCGCTCCGCGCGCCAGGGAGGGGGGCCCAGCGCCGATCCGAGAAATCCGGGTGGGCCTCCTTTTTTTTTTTTTTTTTTTTTTTTTTTTTTTTTTTTTTTTGTTGTTGTATGTCATCGTTCGTTCCTCTACTGCTCTATTCTTCCACAAGCGCCACGGCACCACGCCATGTCGTCCAGCACACGCGCCGACCCCCCAAGCCCCCTCACTCGCGGAGGGCCCGATGAGCCGCACATAGTTTCCCTCGTTTGTACAGATGATACAATGTGCTACTCTCCTCTCTCTCTCTCTCTCCCGAAGACGTCCAGAGAATGGCTCGCTTCCTTCCGCGTATTGTCTTTACACATTCGGATTGCTCCGAATTGTTTTCGCACGCGTTTTTTTGCCATCCGAATGTTCTCGGCCCTTCCAAACTGGTGCTCCCTCTGCTGCGTGGGTTTCACTTTAGGATCGGCACTTTGCTCCCGTGGTTCAGAATGGTGCTCTCGCCCCAGCGCGGGCCACTTTTCTGGATCCGAATCCTTCAACGTTGTTGCCCCCCCTGCTTGTCCCCTACTTCACGGTCCCCTGGCCCTCCTGCTCCTCCTGCTCGTTCCAATCCAACTCCTGCTGCTACTTTCGTCTTTCTCCTTTCTCATCCTTCTCATTTTCCGCCTGCTCATTCGGCACCTCCTCCTCCAATGTACGCAGCTCCCCTCATCCGATTGCGCATAGCATGATGGGGTCCTTCTTGCAGTTCCAGGTCCGCTATGGCACGCGTGGCCAGATAAAGAAAACATCAGCTCAATGGGAAGGGATGGGTGGGAGGGGTAGGATGTCAGAAGTGGCGCCAGCGCACCTAGCTTACCCTCCCCCTCTCTCCCTCCCTCCTCCTGCTCCTCCCCGCTCCCCGTTCTTCTCTTCCCTTTCCGCCTACTTCTTTCTTCCTTTTCTCCTCCGCATTTAGAGAGCCCCTACATGGGCAAGGCGGACGAGGCAAAAGGACAGCGCTGGCCTTTGGGCTGCGCGAGGCGGCCGCAGCATTGGACTACCTCTCGCTGGTATGCGGGCCGTCTGTCCGCCCCGTCTGCAAATCCTGGGCTTGCTTAGATGTTTGCTGCTAGAAGCCTCTAGCAGAAGCCTCTTCCTCTCCCTGATTGACGTTGGCCAGGCTCTAAGCATCGAGGCTCGCAGCCTTCATGGGGAACATGCGAAGCACTTGCGAAGACAGACTTAGGCACGGTGGCCTACAACATGGACCCAGGTCGGCGCAGCAAGAACAGACAGGCAACGAGGAAGTAAGGAGCAGTGTGAAGGCCTTCCCACCCTCTTCCTCCTCCTCCTCCTCCTTCCCCTCGCCCCCCCCTCCCCCCCGCAGCGTGAGGACTCGGCGCTGGTGTGCGCGTCTGCCTCCAGCGGCACCGTGCACGTGTTCCGGAGCCCTCTCCCGTGGCCGCTCCCCCCTGGCGAGGGTGGGGAGGAAGGAGGAACTGGGAGGGAGGACGGGGGAGGAGGGATGGAGGACGAAGGAGGGAAGATGACGAATTCTATGGGATTCTACAAACGCTGAGGATGATCCTGATGATGATGGTGATCATGGTGATGGTGATGGTGACGGTTGTGGTGATGATGTTGATGCTGCTGCTGCTGATGGTTACGATGATGATGCTGATGATGATGAGGATGATAATGAGGATGATCATGCATTCGGAGTGTGATGATAATAATGATCATGATGGTGGTGGTGGTGATGCTCATGATGATAGTACGCATATTGATGACATTGAGGATGACGATGTTGCTGATACTGATGATGCTGATGATGAGGGCGAGAATGTTGTTGATGATGATGGCGAATCTGATGATGGTGATGATGAAGCTGATGATGATGAGGATGAGGATGATGATGCTGCTGCTGATGATGGTGATGCTGATGATAATTATGTTGATGATGCTGATGTTGAGGGCGATGATGCTGATGATGCTGCTGACTATGATGATGATGGGTGATGATGATGATGATGCTGATGCTGATGATGATGCCGATGCTGATGCTGATGTGGCTGATGACGATGATGATGATGATGATGATGATGATGATGATGATGACGATGATGATGATGAGGATGACGATGACGATGACGATGACGATGCTGCTGCTGATGATGATGATGATGATGATGATGATGATGAGGATGATGATGAGGATGATGCTGATGGAGCTGATGATGGAGATGATGATGTTCATGATGGTGCTGCTGATGATGAGGATGATGAGGATGAGGAAACGGCGGAGTGGGAACATTGATGATAGAAAGGAACATTTTTGAATAAGGAAGCCGAATACGGAGACGAGGGGGACGAGAGGGATACGCGCTGTGATTGTAGGAGTCGGCGTCGCAGTAAGAGTATGGCCACAAGTAGGAACACGAGTGTGAATATGAGTGGGCACGAGGTTAGAGTAGGGATGGGGAAAGAGTCGGTTCACAGTATGGGTTTTGCATGGCACCGAACATGTGCACGACTCGAACATCTCAGATGGCCTGGGAAGGTGGAAGATGATGATTGCGATCATGAGTCGGCGTGTGGAAAACACAAGACTGTTGGGGGGGTGGGGGGTGGGGAAGGGGAGGGGGAGGAGGAGGAGGAGGCGGAGGAGGAGGAGGAGGAGGAGAAAGAGGATGAACAGGCCGAGGTGGAGGTGGCGGGGTTCTGGATGATTTTGTGATGCTGCTGCTGCCGCTAGTGATGAGGATGACGACGGCGATTATGACCATGGATGGTTATGAAGATGATGATGATGATGCTGATGAGGATGAAGAAGGTTATGCTAGTGATGATGATGACGATGATGGTGATGATGATGATGCTGAAGCTGCTGCTGATGATGACGATGACGATGCTGCTGATGAAGATGATGCTGATGATGCTGATACTGGTGATGCTGCTGATGATGATGATGCGGATGATGATGATGCTGATGATGCTGATGATGCTGATGATGCTGATGATGATGCTGATGATGATGATGATGATAATGATGGCGATGATGACGACGACGAAGCTGATGAAGATTCTGATGATGCTGATGCTGATGATGATGATGATGATGATGATGATGCCGATGATGGTGTTGGTGGTGATGATGATGAATATGATGATGCTGATGCTGATGATGCTGATGATGATGATGGTGGTGGCGGTTGCGGTAGTGATGACGACGATGCTGTTGACGGCGACTCTGATGACGATGGCGCGATGATGATGACGATGCCACCGCCGACGATGCGCGTGCTGATGATGATGATGAGGAGGAGGAGGAAGAGGAAAATGAGGAGGTTGATGATGACGAATGTTATGATGACGATGATTTTGCTGCTGACTGAGGGTGACTCTGATGATGATGCTGATGATGATAATTATGATGCGGTTGTTGTTATCATTGATGATGTTGATCTGATGATGGTGATGATGGTGGTGGTGGTGAGGCTCAGTATGCTGTTGATGATCATGGTAAGTATAGTGATGATGCGGATGGTCATAATAATACTCGTAGTACTAATACTACTAAATACTACTGTTGTTGTTGGTGGTGGTGGTGGTGGTGATGGTGGTGGTGATGATGATGAGGAGGAGGAGGAGGATGATGAGAAGGACGAGGAGGAGGAGGAGGAGAAGGAGGAGGAGGAAGATGAGGGGATGCGGGATATGCATAATGATGGATGGCAAACAGATTGCTGGGTACACGGTCATGGTATGATGGTGACATCGATGATTCTGGAAATTATGTTTTTGATGATGCTGATGGGTCTGATGATTGAGGACGTGGGGGAGGAGGAGGAGGAGAAGGAGGAAGATGAGGAGGAGGAGGAGGAGGACGAAGAAGGACGAAGGGAAGGAAGGGAACGAAGGTGGTCAGGAGGTGAAGCAGGGGTACGGCGAGGAGGACGGGGAGGAGGAGGAGGAGGCGGAGAAGGAGGACGAGGGGGAGCAAGAGGAGGAGTGAGGAGGATGAGGAAGCTCAGCCATGACGACAGCGTGGTCAGTTTTGCCCGCAGGAACTCGGAGAAGGTGCTGGGCGCGCTGCCACTGGAGTCGCCCCCGCCGCGCTTTGCAGGGCACTTCAGGGGAGGCGCTCCCGTCCTCGCTCCATCACCCCCTTCACATTACACCCTCACCTCCCAGCGCGGGCGCTCCCTGTTGGCCCTCCCCCTCTCCCTCGCCGTTCGCTTTCCTCTCTTTCTTCCTCTCACTCTTCCTCTCTCTCTCTCTCTCACTCTTCCTCCCACTCTCCCACTCTTCCTCTAACTCTCTTCCTTTCACTTTCCTCTCTCTCTTCCTCTCCCTCCTCTCACTCTCTCTCTCTTTCCTCTTACATCCACCCAGTCCGAGCACCGTCCTCCTCTTCTCCCTGACCGCTGCTGGGCCTCCGGCCCTCTGTCGTGGTTGTGGGTTATTGTTGTTGTTGTTGTTGTTGTTGTTGTTGTTGTTGTTGTTGTTGTTGTTGTTTGTTTTGTTTTGCTTGCTTGCTTGGTTGGTTGGTTGGTTGGTTGGTTGGTTGGTTGGTTGGTTGGTTGGTTGTTTGTTGTCGTTGCTGTTGC